CAAAAAAAAAAAAAAACTCATTGGGGGAAACACTTCAAGATGTCCAAGTAGGCAAATATTTCCTGATAAGATCCCTAAAGCTAGGACAATTACACCAAAAACAGATAAGTGGATTATGTCAAAATAAAAAGCTCTGGACAGCAAAGGAATTAATGTATAGTCAAACCACAGAATGAGAAAATAAGTATTTTAAACTATAATTTGGATGAGGGATTCACAACCAGAATATATAAGAAACTCAAATAACTCACCCACAAAATAGGCTAATATTCTAATAATAAAAAAAAAAGATGGGTAATCAATCTGAGCAGCTCTCAGAGAAGACATACAAATGGCTAAAAAGCATATTAAAAAAGTTCAACATCCATCTCATATCATAAAGGAAACACAAATCAATCTACAATGAGGTATCACCTAACCCCAGTCAGAATGGATATGATAAAAAACAAAATAAATAAAACACACACACACAGAAGTGCTGGTGAGGTTGTGGAGAGAAGGGAATCCTCGCACACTGCTGTTTGAAATATAAATTAGTGCAGCCACTATGGAGAATTGCTGTCCCTTAAAAACTTAAAAATATATCCATTGAATGACTCAGTAATACCACTATTGGGTGTATACCCAAAAGATAGTAAGTCACTCAGTTGGAGAGACATTTGGACCTTCATATGAATCGCAGCATTATACACAACAGCTAAATCACAGAAATAAGCTTAAGTGCCCCGACACTGATAAACTTACTGGGAAAATCTAGCACATATACACAATTGACACTATTATTTAAAGAGCAGTAAAATCCTGTCATTGACACAAAGTGGATGATCCCAGAAGATATCATGGTAAGTGAAATAAGCAAGACTACAAAAGACAAATAACATATGTCCCTGCTTAACATAATGGAATGTTTGCAATCTGTAGATGAAATTGAGTCTCAAAAGCCTAGAAATAGAGAGTAATGGGAGACACCAGCAACTGCATGAGGAACTAAGGAGGGAGTGGATGCAGAAGAAAAACAAATGTAATGGACATGCAAATGGAGGTAAATAAGAGGAAGAGATTATGGAATGGTATAGCATAGCAGAATAAAAAAAAATGAACAAACCAAAATCTAGCTCCAAAAGATAGACGCTTAGAATTATTATCAAATATGCCAACAAACTGTAAGTCTTGATCTTAAGATGAATATGTATTGTATCATTGATTTGATTAGTACACACTAAAACTTTGAGAAATTATATTGTACCCTGCAAAAAAATATGTAATCAGAACTCATAATGAAACAAAAGAAAAATTGAATTAATGTTCTTCTTTTTTTAAGTAAGATTTTTGCTATAGGGCATTTGCCAGAGAGAGAGAGACAGAAAGCAAGAGGTCACCTCCGAGGGGTATGACCATGCTGCAATCCCTTCTCTTCCATTCTCCTCTCAGGATTTTGGGCATGTGCATACATGTGCCCACGTAATTTTACACTGCAGGGTCAAGAACTGGAATTGTAGTCAACTACATAGGAGTCCAGCAACATAACCATTACGCCATCTGCTGGTCCCAAATGAATATTCTTAATGTATAAATATTACGAGAAATAAATAAAAGACCATTACCCCAAAAGAAAGAACAAAATTTATGAACAGTAGTTTACAAATGACGATTAGCATGAAACATCCCAAGTATTTACTCATAAAAGCAGTCGAAATTATGACAACAATAAAGTCTAATTTATTTTTTATTTTTTAATTTTTTTAGAGATTTGTGCTATCGGGCATGTGTGCTTACTGGAGAGACAGAGAGACAGAAAGCAAGAAATCAGCCCCCAGGGAGGGATGGCCACACTGCAATTTTTTCTTCTCCATTCTTCTCTCAGAATTGTGGGCACATATGCACACATATCCAGTGTATTTCAAACCTCTGGGTGAGGATTCGAACCATGGTCAACCATGTGGGAGTACAGTGAGAAAACCATTACACCATCAGGTAGTCTCTTTTTAAAGAGATTTTTGCCTTAGGGTGCTTGTGCTTACTGGAGGGGGAGAGACAGAGAGAAAGTGAGAAGGTAAGTGAGAAATCACCCCTCAGTGAAGATGGCCATGCAGCAATCCCTTCTCCATTCTCCTCCAGGGATCTTGGGCACATATGCACACACACACCTGGCATAATTTTCAAGCCACTCGGTCTGAGATTCAATCTGTGGTTGGCCACTTGGAAGTCCAGCAATATAAGAATTAATGCCACCTGCTGGCCACCTAATTATTTCTAACACAAGTGGAAAAGAATTATATAGCCAAAGATAATATTTTCAGTAAAATCCACACTAAAACTCTAAACAACCAAAAAGTCTGGGCATCTGGATATTTTAAACTGTCATTTTTATGATGAATCAAAGTGATATTTAAGAAGAGAGTGCAAGAGAGTGGAGACAATTATGGATTCTGGCCAATATTAGGTTGAGCACAAATAGCTGTTTGTGTTTCTCAAATAGTGGTGAGGAAAAAAAAAAAAAGAAACTAATTCTTCTGAGTGACCCCAGAAGAATTCAGTTAAGAACCACATAGGGAAATATGTGTATGTTTATGAAAAGGCTTTTTGGTCTCTACTTGTTTTTATGCTCATTGAGGGAATCTGAAAACCCAAGAGCAATTCTATCCCCTGAGACAGCAAGTCAAATTAAGCCCATCCAGTCATTGAATTTCCATTCGCTGCACTTCACCTAGTTTGGTATTTGAATGGAAATTGGCCACTCTTTATCAACATGGTATGGCTGTCCTTTGAGTGATATCTTGAAAACTACTGCCTGTAAATAGCATGGTAAATATAAAAAATCTGGAGAAAACATTTGGATTAATTTTACTGTTGAATCATATACTGTAAGGTGAGTTCCTGGAATGTTAGATTTGCTGTTTTCCCCTACTTTCCTTTATCTTCAGCTTCCATGCAGAGCAATATTACTTGGAAATTGGCAGACTTTGCCTTGATTTTGATTATCTAGTCTCTTCGATAAGAGATAGACGAGAGGCCAGCAGGTGGCTTGGTGGTTGGGGGTACTGGACTCCTACATGGCCGACCGTGGCTTGAGTCCTGGACCTAGAGGCTTGCTTTCTCACTTTTTCTCTCTCTCTCCCATCCTCTCTGGTCAAATTAAAATAAGTAAATAAATAAGTAAAGTTAAATGAAAATTTTTTTTAAAAAAGAGATAGATGATAATTAGGTGATAGATATAGATGGATGACTTCTAGGAACTGAGAGTGATTTTCTGTCTATCAAATTCAAAACAGGGACGTACATAATACTACAAGGGACTGAATACTGCCAACCACCTCACCAAGACTGGAATAGATCAACAATTTTAGATGAAATGGCAGCACAAGTGGGGACCTTGATTACAACCTGGATACCCTGAGCAGGGGGTCTGGTCAACCTGACCTACAGAAAGGGTGAAAAGAAATTGACATGTTTTGTGACGCTAAATGCAATTCGCAAACTCCAATAGAAAAGGAATAGGAAGGGTTTCTCCTATATTCTTCTCTAAATAACTTCTGTGATATTTTTATTTTCGCGTGTGTGTGTGTTTGTGCATGTGTGTGTGTGAGAGAGAGTGAGCGAGTGAGGGTGAGAGACAGAGAAAGAGATAGGGAGAGAGATGCTAAAATCACTCCATGACTTTTACCAAAGAAGATTTATAACAAGCAAAATCACATTATAGCTCTATAATTACCCACCATCGTTTGTGCAGTGGCCACATAATTAAATGTTAAATGCTCATTGTTTTTTGTATATTCCTCTAGGGAACGAGACCAAGTGTGACAAGCAATGTTCAACAGGAGCCTGGTGACCACGTTCTTCCTCACGGGCCTTCCCCACCAGCCCGCCCTGGACACCCCGCTCTTTGGACTCTTCCTGGCGATCTACATCCTCACGGTGCTGGGGAACCTCCTCATCCTGCTGGTGATCAGGGCGGAGCCTCACCTGCACACCCCCATGTACCACTTCCTCAGCAACCTGTCCTTCATCGACATGTGGTTCTCCACCGTCACGGTGCCCAAGGTGCTGATGACCTTGGTGTCCCCGGGCGGCAGGGCCATCTCCTTCTGCAGCTGCGTGGCCCAGCTCTACGCCTTCCACCTCCTGGGCAGCACCGAGTGCTTCCTCTACACGGTCATGTCCTACGATCGCTACCTGGCCATCACCTCCCCACTCTAGTACGCCAGCGTGATGAGCGCGAGGACGTGCGCCCTGCTGGCCGCCAGCACGTGGCCAAGCGGGAACGAGATGGTCATCTTCGTCAACATCGGGCTGGTGGCCTCGGGCTGCTTTCTCCTGATAGCGCTGTCCTACGCGTCCATCGTCCGGGCCATCCTGAGGATCCGCACCACGGAGGGGAGATGCCGAGCCTTCCAGACCTGCACCTCCCACTGCGTCGTGGTCCTGTGCTTCTTTGTTCCTTGTGTTTTCATTTACCTGAGGCCGGGCTCCAGGGACGCGGTGGACGTGGTTGTGTCAGTTTTCTACACCGTGCTGACCCCGCTTCTGAATCCCGTGGTCTACACCCTGAGGAACAAGGAGGTGAAGAGAGCTCTGTGGAAGCTGAAAAGTAGGTCAGTACTCACTTAGGATAAACAAATAAGGAAGGCCAGATATGCCTAACTTTTATTAAGTTTATAGTTAAATTAAACTTTCAACAAGAACAGTATACTTGAAAGGAATATGTTAATTATCCAATCTTAATTTTGTTTTCTTTTTTCCTGTTAGTGTGTGGGGGCTAGCAAGAGAGAAATAGAGGAGATACAGACAGAAGAAAAGTGAGAAATCACTCTTTTTCGCCCCAGGAATTGGCCACACTGCAATCTCTTCTCCATTTTCCTCTGGGAGAATGGGTGCACACACACACGTGCTCAGTCTGAGTTTCAAGTCATCAGGTCCAGGACTTGAACTGTGGCCAGCTGTGTGGATGTCTAGTGCCTTAACTCCTATGCCACCTGCTGGCCCATCCAATCTAAATTTTTTGATAGAACACAAATATTTCATTATTTTTCCTTGCTGAATGTTTCTTAGTAACTCAGTTAAAGCAGCCATTTAATTTTGATGATCTATTCAAAGACAAAATGCAGTAGTCTATTTTTCATTTTATGTTCCAGTAAGTAAATGCTGAGGGAATAAATGGATTATTTTTACCACTGTGTAAGTGTTCTCCACAATTGCTATTCAGTATAATATGCTTATATATAGATATATACACATATGTGTGTGTGTGTATATATATATATATACACACACATATATATATATACACACATATATATAGTTTATTTTGTGCTTTAAGTCAATGCTTTATAAAAATCTTACAAAAATTTTAAATTTCTGTATTGAAAGAGTCACATAATATTCACAATCCATTATATAATGCAGTAATCATATGATAATTTCTTACTTTGTGAGAGGAAGAAAGGAGGAGAGAGAGGAAGGACAAAGAGTGGGAGACAGACAGAAATAGACATCTTGTCAGGTTCTCACTGTATTGAGATACTTCTGTCCAAACCTCAAAATTAGCTAGGGTTATGGGTGCATACAACCATGCCCAGTGTGTTTGGGTTGGCCTGGGAACTGAACCCTGATCTGTCATGCAGATTCCCACCTCCCAGAGCAACACTACCCATGTGCCACTGCTGCTGGGACCATATCAACAAATTCTTGGTTTAGAAAGTAGCAGAACAAATTGCGTGATTCACAAGAAGGATGGTTTTATTCATATTCATGAGCTAGTGAAAACTATATAACTAACATTTTTTTTTAATTTGGGCCTCTGAGGGTTTTAAATAAATATTTGTCCATTTATGCAATGCATTTTTGTATTGGTCACTGAAAGAGCTGCCAAGACTTTCCATTTATATTTTTAGAGCTCCTAGTCTTTTATCCAAGATACAAGCCATCTTAAAATTATTTATATTAGTAAATGGTATAAATAGTAAATATATTTTGAAAATGCTAGCAACAAAATATGCAGTCAAAAATATTGTGGATATTTTCCAATTTAAAACACAGTTCTATACAGTACTTCACATGTAATTTTACTATGTCTGTTAGTCACATTTGTTTGACTAAAAGTATAAAATGGATTTTGGATACTATGTAGGTCATTAAGTCTTGGGTCATCAACTACACATTCAGTCAGTCAAATATATATGAATACTTAAAGTGTAAATTAATTTTTCTCAAAATAAATGTATCCCGTTAATACATCACCCACTTTGCCTAGCAGACAAGGAAGAGAAAGCTGGTAGAAAACTGTAAGAATTAAGGAGCACCTCTCAGTTTCTCCAAATTTGCAATGGCTTCAGAGATACTTTAGCGAAGTCACCCTTTCCATGCTAGCTTGTCATTTCTTATTCTAAGTAAATTGTGAAGAATGCTGGGGAAAAAATTGTACTAACTGTGAGAGCATCCCTACCAAAACCATGAAAAGGTGGTCTATGTAAGAGTCTTATCATTGGTGTGCACTACCATACACCAGATTAGTGGGTCAGTAATTAACATGGTGGTGAAGGAGCCTGGATCCCACAAGGCCCACTGTGCAGTTTGAGAGCCAGACCTGGCAGCTCAAGAAACATGCTGGGAATGTGTTTGTGCATGCCCAAAATCCTGAAAGGAAGAAGAAATGAATAAGGGATTGCAGCATGACCACTCCCCGTGGGGGTGTGGAGTACGTTTTCTCACACTCTGTCTCTCTCTAGCAAGTTGACACACCCTCTGGCAAATTAAAAACAGCAACAACATTATATAACCCAAATCATTTGGACAAGGATAGAGATGAAGTACAGATAAACCAAAATTATTTGGCCACTGGGTTCTCTTTGATCCTTTCCAAATCCTCATAGCATCATGTTACTTTATTTGACTCAATTATATAAGCTGTTATGTGACATTTAATGGGTGCTGAGGCACACGATTAACAGTAGGTACTCAAAAAAACAAAACAGATTAGGTCCCTGTATTCCCCAAGGTCATTGCCTGGCAAGGGAGAAAAAACAAGGCATCATCCTGGTACATTGTTGTATATGTAGTAAGTTCCCAAAGAGGGATCCATTATTAGTTTTAATCGGGAAATATGCTCTAAGAATCAAAACACCATACCAATATGTATTACATAAAACCATATTCAAAGAAAGTTACATTTTTTCTTGTTTTATTTACATTGCATTACTGTACATCTTTGCAGCATATAAAAGGAATCTTCACAGCATGAATACACTATATCAGCCCAGTCAAAGATATTATTATACACATCATCTTTAGCACATTAATTCTACAATTTTGTGTCTGGAATCATGGGGGAAATTTAAAATTTAACATTTTTAATAATTTCATGTAAATATTTGTATCTTTATTTAATTGAAAATATTGTTGAAATTGTAGAAGCATATGAAATCGTAAGACAGAGAAAGTCTTGGTACAGCTTGCCTAGTTTCCCCTGGTGATAAGATAGCATAATTAGGATATTGAAATCGATCTAATCCCTAGATCTTATTTATGTCTCCTCAGTTTTGTTTGTGTCAGAGTGTGTTTATGTGTGTGTGTGAATTACACAGTTTTTTTTTTAAAGGTTTCTGCCTTAGGTGTGCATGCTCGTTGGAGAGAGAGACAGACATAGTGAGAGGGAAAGTGAGAAATTACCTCCTGGGGGATGGTCACATGACAATCTCTTTTCCTTCATTCTCCTCCCAGGATCTTAGACACACACACACACACACACACACATACACACACACATATGCCCAGCGTGAGTTTCAAGCCACTGGGTCCAGGATTCAAATGGCCATGTGGGAGTCAAGTAACATAACTGCTATGTCATCTGCCAGTCCCAAATTACAGGTTTGTTTTTGTTTTTATTTTTAAAGAGAAATTTTTACTAAGGGGAGGTGCTCACCAGAGAAACAGAAAGTGAGAAATCACACACCCCCCCCGGGGGTGGGGAATAGCCACACCACAATCTCTTCTCCTCCATTATCCTCTTGGGATTTTGGGTACACGTATATGTAGTTGGTGTGTTTCAAGCCACCAGGCCCAGGACTTGAACCATTTTCAACTATGTCGGAGTCCGGCAAAATAATCATTATACCATCTGCTCGACCTGAATAACACAGTTTCAAATTACACAGTTTTAACACCAGTGTACATTTGTGTCTTCACCACTGTCGTAGTCAGGATACTGAGTTGCCCTACCCAGCTGTTGCAGTGCAGTGGTGGCACATCTTTCTGTCCTGTGGAAGATAGGCTAGGATCCTGGGTCTTCTGGACATGTTCTGCCCATGATTCTGGAAGGCTATGAGGACTGTGGCATGAGACCTGTTGTGCATATTTCTCTTTATCTAGCTCTCTCAAAAGAAATAAAACTTTAAAAGAAGATAGTGGAAGCCCAGTTGCCTAGTTGATAAGGCACTGATGTCCTATAAAAAGATATTGAACAGGCCAACAGTCTTGAGCCCAGCCTGGGTAGGCTGTACAGTGAGTCTGAGCTCAGGGCCGAAAAACAACTTTGAAACTTTGGACTCTGTCACCAACCACTGCAGTGGCCTGGGCTTGACCTACCTGCCTACTGGGAGTCTTGAGCCCAGTCTGGGCAGGCCTTAAGGGTGAGTCTGTGCTTTGGGCCTGGGAGCAACTTTGGGACTTTTGGTACACCAACCCACATATTGTGCAAGTGCAGCGTGCAACTAGATCATCTTCACCAAGTTATATCTCCTTAGCTGGCTACCACCTCATCAGGAACTGAACATTTGGTAGAAGAGCCAAGCACCTGAAGTTACCCATAACTGCTCTGACCTGGGAGACACAGCCCTCCAATAGGAACATACCTGCGAACTAAGGCTGAAATTTCCTCCACAAGTGCTACAGAATCTACTGAAATAAATACAGAAAAGGTGAATATTGCATCAGATGACTAGAAACCAACACAGATCTTGAAGAAACATGAGAAAACAAGGTGGTAGCTCTTCCCCAGGTGAGAAATTATACAGAAATGTCAGAAAAAGAATTCCAAATATGCATATTGACAAAACTGAATAAGAGGCAAGAGAAAATAGTCAGTTATAGGAAATGAGAAAATAATTTCCAGACATGAAAGAGGAAGTTCATAAAGAAATAGGCACCCTAGGGAACCAGCAGTTAGTGTAATGGCTATGTCACTGGACTCCCACGTAGTCGACCGTGGTTCACTTCCCGGATCCGGTGGCTTAAAACTCACGTCGGGCATGTGTGCGTGAGTGCCCAAGATCCCGAGAGGAGAATGGAAGAGAAGAGATTGCAGCGTGACCATCCCCCCTGGGAGGTGATTTCTCGCTTTCTGTCTCTATGTCTCTATCTGTCTGGCGAGCGTACGCGCCCTATAGCGAAAACCTCTCCAAAATAAGAAAAAAAATAAATAAATAGACACCCTAAAAAAGAGTCAAACAAAACTTCTGAAAATGAAGAATAAAATACAAGAAATTAGAATCTCCCTAGAAAGCATTAACAGTAGATTAGACCATGTAGAAGAAAGGATTTCTGATCTTTAAGACAAAGTTTCCAGCATAGAACAAATCACCAAAAAGATTGGGAAAAAAAAAAAAAAACTGAAA